TGTGTTGGGGGGGTTATTTTATAGATAATGTCCCCAAAATCCCATCGTGGGATCTGTAATTCAATGTAGAAGCAGTTTGGGGGTCTCTGGTCTCTCCAACACCTGAAACATGTCACGTCTTTCCTCATTTACTGTCTGTAGCTTTCCCGTGTAGCTCGCGGTATGTCACAGACGTGATTTATCGGGATGTCCGCGTGTGCCGTGTATTCGGGGAGCTGAATTCCGGACAAATCGATTTGTACCTCTGTCCATGCGGTGCTAAGATTTGTACAGCTCTGCCGCACAGCACGGCCCTGTCTAGCAAGGCTGGGGACCCGACATTCCACTTCTGGTGTGAGAGGCAGCGGCTCCGTTTATGTTGTGTTCTAGAGAGATGCGTGTTATAGAAAACCTCCACCGACAGAGAGAGAGACCCCGCATACATAGAGAGGGAGGACCGCCTACTGTACAGAGAGAAGGGAGATCCCCAACATTCACCCTGTGTGTGTCCAGAGAGAAGGGAGATCCCCAACATTCACCCTGTGTGTGTCCAGAGAGAAGGGAGATCCCCAACATTCACCCTGTGTGTGTCCAGAGAGAAGGGAGATCCTCAACATTCACCCTGTGTGTATCCAGAGAGAAAGGAGATCCTCAACATTCACCCTGTGTGTATCCAGAGAGAAGGGAGATCCTCAACATTCACCCTGTGTGTATCCAGAGAGAAGGGAGATCCTCAACATTCACCCTGTGTGTATCCAGAGAGAAGGGAGATCCTCAACATTCACCCTGTGTGTATCCAGAGAGAAGGGAGATCCTCAACATTCACCCTGTGTGTATCCAGAGAGAAGGGAGATCCTCAACATTCACCCTGTGTGTATCCAGAGAGAAGGGAGATCCTCAACATTCACCCTGTGTGTATCCAGAGAGAAGGGAGATCCTCAACATTCACCCTGTGTGTATCCAGAGAGAAGGGAGATCCTCAACATTCACCCTGTGTGTAGAAGAGTTTGAGTCTTCACTTCCATAAGCAGTCAGTCATGTAGATGGAGAGCGCAGCCCCCGTTGCGGCCCCGTCCTGTCAGTTGAATTCCCCTTTTGAATTATGAAGAATGAACGTGCGTGTGGGGGTGCTGCGCTCTGCCCTCATGCGTGTGGGGTGCTGCGCTCTGCCCTCATGCGTGTGGGGTGCTGCGCTCTGCCCTCATGCGTGTGGGGTGCTGCGCTCTGCCCTTGTGCGTGTGGGGTGCTGCGCTCTGCCCTCGTGCGTGTGGGGTGCTGCGCTCTGCCCTCATGCGTGTGGGGTGCTGCGCTCTGCCCT